CCTTTGCTCAGCATTATTGGTTTTGTATAGGTGCACATTCTCTCCGGAAAGTCAGAGCAGATTGTTGTGCCGTCTCCATATCCGTAAATTTACAATGAGACAAGTCTGCAAAAATGAGTGTTCAAGGTTGATTATTTTCAGGTAAAAGTTTGAGCTTTGAAGTTGACAAAAAGAAAAATAGGGAAAAACTCATTTGATTGTAAAAGCTGAAATGGTTTCCATTAATCTGCAACTTCCAAAGGATTTATTTCTTAAAGATATTAAAGAGATGAGAATATGTTCTGCTCTGTTCATTTATTTTATTAAATGGACTCGGAATACAATAATGGCTTTTGCAAAATATCTGTTGTGTCTTAGTCTCACACTGGTACCTCAAGCACCAAATACCTGCTAGCATTCAAAACAGACAAAGTGAATGGAATAAATTTTTGGTATCTTCCTATAAGAAAAATATCCTTCTCAACAAAGTTCCATCAAATGGGATTAGTTTCCTCTGTTTGATGTCAAATGTAGTTCAACCAGCGCGCTTCTAATTGAAAAGATTCTTGATAACTTGAGCTTTGTTTCTCCAGGTAACCTTGAATTCTCACACTTCTTCTAAGTCAACTTGCTAATTCAAGTAGGGGAGATGTAGAGCTGGTAAACAAGATGATCCTATTGAGCACAAGGATCTGAGTCTGACTGCTGCATGGAGTGTATACTGACTATACTGACCAAGCACTGCAGTTGTTGGAATGTGTTTGCGGATTGTGAGATGATGAACAAAGACAATGAAGGGCCCTTTTGGTGACAGCTTACTTTACTCTACGGTAGTCATGCTGGTGTTGGATTTTTCTATCCACAACCTCAGCCTCCATCTGCACTGCGTTTGTGTCAAAGGAAGAGTGCAGCATTTGAGTAAGCCAGAGATATAGTTAGTTTAGCTTAGCTTAGCATACAGACTGGAAACAGGAGGAAACAGCATATGTCACAGTGTCAGTCAAATGGCCCACTACAATTAGACACATACAACATACAACATTATCATTAGTATGTGCAAAATTAGATCTGCCAGAAATCCAGCCAGTTAGTTGATCTGTTATGCAATTAATGAGATGTCGCAGGCACCCCTCAATCAAAACGTCAAACAACTGCAGCTCTGTAGGACATTCTGCCCGGTTCTTATATTAGTCATGGGCATCATACTGTATGTTAGAGATCCATTAGGGTGATAGGGCTATTTCTTGATATTTATCTATCATGCAACTGCATATCATACAAACAAGATTCAGACTTGCACATATTGTTACTTTGGACAGAGCCAGGCTAGCTGTGTCCCCCTGCTTCCAGTCTGTATGCTAAGCTAGGCTAACCATGTCCTGACTCCAGCTCTTGTCGCCCTTTCTTGTCTTTTAACAATGTTGGCCCAAATGTCGCGATGAATCTCAGTTTATTGCATCTTCTGCCTTGTGCATTGTGTGTGTTGTCGGTGCAACGTCTCTGCTGGGTTTTTAAACCCCGGAGCGTTTTTGTCACGGCCCCTGCTGAATCGAACATGCTGCTTGGATTCATATTATAATCATGCTCAACCACAGAGCCATTTCTGCCAAATACTGTATATGAATTATCCATCTCCTTTGATCTAAGCCTTTCTGACTGGACTGCAATTCATAATCCACGACCTGCTCCATTTTTAAACCTAGACCCTATTTTCTTGGGTGGGTAGTTTGTTTTGATTTTGTTTTGTTTTTTCTTCCATCATGAGTATTGAGTATGTTCAAGATCTTATATCTTACTTCACTAGCAAGTGTAATATAGCTTCAGTTGGCAGGAAAACACTGCAGTTCAATACACATCCACAGGGGAAACAGAACACTTCTACGCAGCACATTACACACACACTGCATCTCGTCTCCATTTAGCCACAAGGAGGACATGTTGCAGCGTTTCACAAACGTAGGTAGTGTGACAACACACGCAGCAAACCTAATGGGCAATCCAGCAAGTGTGGTGGTCCAAGTATTAAACATTCATTTAATGAGTTCATTTCATTTTTCTCAGCTTTTGTAAACTCTATAGACAAATAATTGCAGTCTCTACCATTGCTTAGATGCTACTGGATTGTCCCTACTGATGTACCAACATAACTTAGTAGAGTCAAACGGTAAGGTAGTGGTAGAGTTGTCAGGTTTACATATTGTCTGTAACAATTTGCCTTTTTCTCTGTTTGCTGTTTTACACATGGTCAACTGGCTGCAGGACTGGTAGTGGCAGCTGTCAGAGAAATGAACAGTGTCAAATTTATAGCTACAGTTGGTAACTTCAATAAAAAATAACGCTTTGTCATATTTGCTCAAACTGTCACTATATTCTGACAGCGGTACATGAGACCGATAATTCCTTGGCCTGCTTTTAGTGCTCCTAAAGGCATTTGCAAGATTCCAATCAAAGTGTCAAAGAAAGTTTGCTCCAGCTGGTGGGCGGTGCTTGGTTTTGGCTTGACTGTTTTCAACATGGAGGGCTCATTTTAAAGCAAAACAGCACACATCGGCAATGCAGTAACAGAATGTTGTTGTTCACCGCTGCTTAGTTTTACAGTTTGAATGACATGGAAAAAGAGAAAGTGCACATAAACACAAGAAGGCTTTGTTGGATGTCATACGGTAGACATACAACACATACACATGTGCTCATGAGAATAATAGATGAATCATACACTCAGTCCAGGGGATGATCCACTCCACACAGCCACACAGAGTGGATACGTCACACATTCTATTCTGTACCAGAGGTTTGGTCTTGAACTGCATTTTGTTTTGGCTCTGAACAAAAGATCAACAGGCTTTTGTTGTGTCTGTAGTGAACCGACGGCTCAAAGTGAAAAAGGCCATTCTTCTTTACTGCTCATACAAGCAGTACCACGACTCCATGATCAGTATTAGACATCTGGGCTACTTTTTCTGTTACAATATCCATTATATATCTGGTCCTATACTTCTGCATAAAGACTGATATGTAAGCCTTGCGTCTGGGTTGGTGCAGGTCTCTGAGTGAAAGGTGCAGCGTGTTGTTTCTCAAACCCCCCCCCCCCCCCCCCTCGCCTCTTTGTCTGTGTTGAAGAGGATAAACATGTTGGAAGGGATTTTTCCATCACTGTCTCTCCTTCCACCATCTGTCACTGCCAGACTCTCTGATAGCTTTAGCTTTACTTCTGCACTGACTAAATACTGCTCTCACTGTTTTGGGCCGTAATGCAAATTTCTCTTCAAATCCAACCAGTGGACAATTATAGACTTAATCTTATAGTTATAAATTTATAATGATTGGTTTGTTACGTCTACTTGACTCTGAAGAACAAACATATAGTTATATATTTGTTGTATGCTTTGATGAGGGCCTTTTTGGTACAGTTCAAGTGTCAGAAAAGACTGTTCTCACTTTCTACAGTTTGGGCCACAACACCACTTGGTTAGGTTTGAAAAACTTTGTCTTTGGGCTTCAAAAATTGGATGCACTACATGTCCATACCAGACCTCTAAACCCTTAACTTCTGCTTCACTCCATAAAGGTCACCCTCTTTCCTTGCCACTGCCACAATAGACCTAATTCCAAGGTTACTGGACGGAGAGGTGGCAGATCAGCCATGTGGCTTGTTTAGGAAAGTACTGACAGACAATTTTGTCATTCACTTGTGAGGACTTGTTGGAAACAGAATATATGTCTGAGAATATTAGTATGGATTTTATTTTGTACATGATGCTTTTCTCTATTCTGCTTATACACACAAAGAGTTTGTGGTTTCTGGCTTCCTCTGCAGCACTCAGCCTCAAGCCATTGGTGTGTACTGTAGACTTAAATCTTTAAATACAAGTTTATCCTTTCTTTTTTTTCAATGGCTAGTCATTTCAGAAAGGTCACTGTCATGTTTAGCAAACATCACTCAAATAAGTGGCTCAAATAAATTAGTGTATTTGTTGGGGACTATTTCCAGTTGTGGATTAAAAAACGTTTCATGCTTTTGTCACTATATATAGAATTATATTATGTAACATCTCTGAGCTGTCTCTTCAGAAAACTCCTACGCCTACAGCTACTTTGATCAACTGGAGAGCAAATAGGCAAAATTAGCTTGTTCATTGAGGGATGCTTTGATTATCACCTTCCATTTCATACCTCATGCTCCCCATTGTGCATTGATTCGCTTTCCAAGCAGCTCACGTTTCTCTGCAAATCTCTTTATTTACAAGTCATCAGTGAGGCGGGGCCGGAGCCTGGGGGATAATGTCAACTTTTCTGTTCACTTATTGACAGGCTGCCTTCTCAGTTCTTTTTGAAAGAGGGTTTTTCTAGCCTCGACCTGCAACAATTAGCTTGTCTGCTCCACTACGCGGTGACCTTCCTACTAATGCCGACCCCGTCAGCCGCGCCTCTCCCGAGACACAGACATAGAGAGAGAGTATAAATCGATTGATTGATTAATTGCTTTTATAGATACACAAATACTGCTTGAAAATGCGTCTTTTGGATGTGAGGAAAATCCAGGATGTCCATGACTGATGAAAAATGTTCTATTTAATCCATGACTTTCCATACTATGTTAATTGGACCACTTCCTTGACCAAAACTGTTTTGCTAATCTTACTTTTCTAAAGAAGGGACTGTGGGCCTTCCATTTCCAGCTCATGCCATGTATGTGTGAAATACAATCTGCTGTGTTCCTGTGAAGTGATCCTGAATATTGCTTCTCCACACAAGCAATCCAATTTCTTGACCTCAACTGTCTGCAATGCAACACCTCAAAAACTCGACCACTTCAGCAGACCCAGCAGGCCAGAGTCATAGTCACAGAGCTGGCAGGTCGCTTGTTGCTGTGGTTCAGTCTATCGCTGCTTCCAGCTGATCTGTATCAAGCTTTATCTTCAACGGGCCGAGGTAGAATGCAGTTATGTGCTTTCTATCATCAGAGGTTGTCAGCATGTGAGACTCTGTCTGCAGAACAATCACACCATGGGAGCTCTTACCCTGCTTCATTGTCCTTGTTCACTGCACAGCTATTTAGAAATATGATCTTGCTCCAAAGGTCCTTTAAGAAGTCACAATGGGAATCTGCAAAAAGCTTTTTTTTAATCACAGGACCTGGTCAGATTGATTAAAAACAACAACTGTGGCATTCTTACTCAGAGCTTTTTCTTTCTTGTGCTTGAATTTCAAAATGGAAATCCGATTTAAATATCCATCACTCATGCACCATAATTCTTCAAAGGGCTGAGTGAGTTGAACCATTTGCAAGCTCCTATTTTGAATAGCTATATATATATATATCTATATAGCTATATATATATATAGCTATATAGCTATATATCTATATAGCTATATATATAGCTATATATAGCTATATATATCTATATATATATATAGCTATATATAGCTATATATATATATATATATAGATATATATATATAGCTATATATAGATATAACTATATATATATATATATATATAGCTATTCAAAATAGGA